TGTGGAGGACAATTTGCAACACATGTCGGGGCGGGCAGACAGAGGGCGCGACGGACAAAGGGCGTACCATATGGCAATTCATTGCCTATTAAATTTAGCAATTTCTTTTGCCTTCCTCTCCTCATCTCCGTTTTTCTTTTTTGGGCAGATTTTAGTATTTTTAGTAGAAGTAATCTAAAAACAATATTTATTTTAAAGCGCTGAGTGCACGGAGTGCCCTAATCAGACAGTTAACGGCACTTGAACCAGGCAAACACACATACACACACACACACATGTACAGACACAGAGAAACAGGATTTAAGCTGCAACAATAATAAATTTTCTAGCAAAAAAGAAGGAATTGAAAAATATCTTTCGCTTGAAAAACGCGCACTCCTAAAAATGCTGATAAGGCGAAATATGCGCACGCACACACACACACACATGGAACAGCTCGCATACTAACACAAACACAGCGCTGGCGCTGCTCTGCTCGCTGCTCACTGCTGCTCTCTCATGAATATGCATGCGGCGACGCTGCGTCGCTGCTGGCTCCGCTGAGCCAATAAAGCGTAGACTCACTTACACACATACACACGCAGTGCGCACACACACACACACAGGCTTGCACAGACGAATGCGCAGCGAATGGTAGGCGTGGCCTGCACTACACACATAGCCAAGCAGCAAAGAGTGAGAGAGAGCAAGAGCGCAGCAATGGCGCATGCATTGCACTGCTTGCACACTGCACTGGCAAACAACGAGGCCGCCTCGTGGTGGCTTCTGTCGTTGGGCAGTGAATTGGGGTGTAAGCAGAGGGGGGAGGTGCTGAGTGGTGGCTGTTGTTGTGGGTGGGGGTGGTTTTGGGTGGGTTGGCTCGCTCGATATTGGCCACTCATTAAAATTTATGATTTGTATATGGTTCGAGCTCTCATTATGCATACATAGTTCGTACTTTTTTTGCATAGCCAATTTAGCAGATTAGTTGTAGATACAAATTTTTAGGTATTGTTGTTCCAAGAAATTTAATGTGCTGGATGTGGCTGAAAAGGGGTTGCCGGCGCAGCACGCAGCTGGGAAAATTTCCGCCATTAGTTTAATCATAATAATCATAATCGCAATCATAATCATGGCGAAAATCTTCCGGTCGTCTTTGGCCATAAGCAGCGGAAATTCATGCCAAGACGACGACGGCGGCGCTAAGTCGCCCAGCTACCTGAAGCTGCCGCCTAATTCCTGGCCAGCAAAACACCAATCACCGGATGCTAATCATCAATGCTTAAGCGCGCTTGATCAGCAGGGGAAAACTTTTTTGCTTTTGCGCGGGGTTGGCATGTTTAGACTTTAATGCGCGCCGCGGGAATTCTTAATGAAACCTACAGACATTCGATTGGGTATTTCCACGGTTCACCATGGGCTTAACTGCCCAACACTTACCTGAACTCCGAACTGGACTCCGGACTCCTGGCTGTGCTACTCGTGCTACTTCATGTGGTCGGTTTTTCCCCCCTGCCGGCTGCCAGATCGTGATAATGATGATGATGATGATGGTTGGTTTACTTATGCCGCGCGTGTCCTGCGGTTTTGTGGCTTATTTGCGGTTTTACAGTTTTTATTGCCCAGCAGCAGCCCGGCCCGGCCCGGCTGGCTGTGTGGGAGTTGCCGCCGCTCCTGGTCTCTCGCTCACAGGCTGCGGGCGATGGGAGCGTTGAGGTGTGGACTTTTTGCTTAAGTGATGAGCCGATGCTTGAGTTTTATGCGCATTTCCAGGAAATTACACCTTTGAGCTCAACTCCAGCTAGTTGCACTGAAATTGAGCAAATATTGTGCATCATTAGAATTCACGCAGATTTAATTATATTTGTATATACGAATAAATAAAAAATTGTATTTTGTATATAAATATGAAAATAAATAAAAAACTTTGGTTTTTGTGTAGCTTGCATTCTTATAGATAATTCGACGCGCGCAATGCCGGGTAACTTCTGCTAGTACTAAGTAAACGTTCTTTAATGCTTTGAGTAGACGGAAAACTGAAAGTTTAATAAGCAACTATTATTTACAGCTTAGTTTCAGTAGTTAAACCTTTGTAATATCAGTTGGATCTTAAACTTTTTTTCCAAGTACATATTTTATAGGTCGTTGGAACCTTAACCAGATCCTGGACCTTCCGGAAACTGTTCAAATTTGGCCGTCAACTGTAATACGATTGTTTTGGTTAGCTTTTTTCCAGCGGTTATCCAGAAATAAAGATATACAACGAATATTTAAGGAAAATTGTGTTTCCTTTCTTTGTCCTAAATAAAAGAATCCCGAAACTCGAGACAGTCAAGCATATATTTATGTTATAATAAGGAAAGGTTCCCGAATCCAGCATTAGATATACAACATGGTGATCTTTAATATTAATATTATATAATATTTTTTTTAAATATTTTTTTATAATTTTTTTAGTATCTGTTTAAATTTGTTTCACTTGGAACTAACAGCACTATATAAAACTGTCTGTTTTATGTTCTATTTACTTTCAGACTTTACTCAAGCGAGTGTCATAAAGTGCTCACTTGTCTGGATCTGTTACCTAGTAGGCCATATATATATTCATGCTGCAAATCGTGAATGCTGCTGCGAACCATTCACATGCACCCATTGAATAAATGTGTTATACCTGCCCGAGCATAACTCGAACACTTTTTGCATTACAGCGCTTAATTCATTCATAAAACGGGCTCTCCAATGCCGTCTGCCGAGGTATTCCATTCAAAACTCGAACTTGTCTTGATGTTGCTTTCGTTGTTGTTGTTGTTGTTGTTGTTGTTGCAGTTGCTGCTGGTCTAATGTTTATTTTATAAATATTCGATGCCATGTTATTCGAACAAGACTTTTGTTTATTTATATGGGGAAATACGCGCGACATACTCAAGACTTTGTGTGTGTGTGTGTGTGTGTGTGTGTACGATTCGAATTGAAAATTGCCAATAGAATTCTCTATGAATGTTCTTTATAAAAGATACACAGATATTTTTCGTGTTTCGAAAAGATACTGGAACCTGGCAAATTTGCTATGCGCGCCTATCAAAACATTCGCCAGTTGAAAATCCTGGCGAAAAAACGTTTTTAATTTCGCATAAATTTAAAATAAATAAAACTCGTTTCCAACAATTTAAAAACAAAAAAAAAAACCAAAAACCAAATGAAATTTTGTTTATTTTAACGCAAAGAAAAATGTTCGTTTTCTCCATTATTTTTTTGCACAAAATAAAAATTGTTCAAATCATTTTATTTATTTATTTATGCAGGCTGGTGCGGCTGCTGTGGCTGCATCTTTGAATTTGGTTTTCGGGTCGGGTTTGGTCCTGGTTCGATTCTGGGTCCTGTTCGTATGTTTACTTGACGCACAAATCCTCTTACGCCGGCAGCTCTCAGCTCTCGGTTCTCGATTCGCAACGGACGAAAAGGACAATTGCATGTTTTGATTGCCGCATGCAATTGTCCTGGCAACTGGCTCGTCCAGCGCGTCCTGCCTGTGCACTTGTGACAATATTTTCATAATTTTTGCATCTTTTTTTTTTTTTTTTGCTACTGCCGTTGTCATCGGCGCATCGCCAGCGGTAGGTGCGTGTGTAAACATTAACTTTTCAAGAAGATTTAATCCCGATTATCCTTTGACTGTACAATTTTTCACTCAGCTAAAGTTACCTCGACTGCCGTTTCCTCTGTTTGCCTTTCGGTTTTGCCAAGATTTTGTCTCCGTCCAGAGCCTAGTCCTCGTCCGCATCCCCGTTCTCGTCGCTGGCGATAATTATCAATGGCGACGACTTCTTGATGCGATTTCTGCTGCCTTTCCCTGGCCGGGACAATGGCCAGGACTTTGCGCTGTGTTCCATTTGACTCTGGGTGAGATTTTAATTTGCCCATAAAGGTGAGACAATTAACTGAATAATTGGATTGCTAATCTCGTGAACAATGTGCCGGGGCATGTGCCTTGCAATTAGATACATTTTACGAGCCGAGCATTATTATCCCTTGAGCTGGTTAGTTGCCTTGTGGAGAGGGTATTTGTCAATGGACCTATTATACATATACTTCGCACTGATTTGCATGTTAACAGGCTATTTAATTGAGTGGCATATGTTAATTTCGTGAATTCCAATTGCGAAGGATCAGATTTACCCAAGGACTCGTTTAATTTGAGGAAATGGTTAAACATACTCCTTCGCAATGGACGGACTCCTTTAAGGAAATACTCATAGATATGCTTATATACAAGTCTGCGTATATGAATGCATGCCATATATATATAATGCCCGACTTTACCCCCATATTCCACTTTTACTTAATGTCAGCTACTGCGCAGTGCTGCCAGATCGTTAAAAACTGACTTTAAAATTCAGTTAAAATGAACGTCTAGTTTCAAGCAGTTATGGATAAACAGCGCACCGCTAAGCAGTGCACTGCTTGCGCACTCTGCTTACATAACGTGTGCCGCAATTTTACGCAGTGCAGCCAACTTCACTGTAAACAAGTTTCGAACACACTTGAAGTTGGCTGCACGCAAAATTGACTCAACTGAAGCAAAATGCGCGCATTTTTTAAATATTTCAAAAATAAGATTTTAAAAAAATACTCAATTGATAAACAATGGGTTGTTCCCTACGTTTATAACTTTTTATACTAGGTTTATACTAGGCCCAACTGAAGACTTTTTAAGCCTTTTAATAAGAAAAATATCTCTATCAACTAGACATAAACAACATAAAAGAAAGAAAATCAAACAGAATCTCAATCTATGATTCTCGATATTTGCAAATATGTATTTTACAGAAGAATCAGCTTATAAGCAAAGGAAAGTAAGCAGCAGAGGGAAGCATTGACGGAAGGTGTACCTACGCATATGCGCCGGATACAGGGCATCTGCTAGTCGAGTACGCTCGGCTACCTGTTATTCGTATGCATGGTGATGCATATTTATTTAAATTTGAACAATTTGATCACAAATAATGCTTGACTATTTGCTTTATAAATACATGCTAATTATATGATATATTTTATTTGATAAGAATTCCTTGGATTACGCACTAAGCAACTAACTTTGTCTGCAACTACTTAAAGGCTAACATTAAACTTGATTATCCTTTGAGGTAATAATGCAAAATAACTTATACACATGTTTGTATGTACGGGAGTAATGCCCAATAAGATCGGGCTGCACTAATTCGAATATTTGATTGTCTCGTAGTAGCCGCCGTTCACCGATGTCGGGGGCGGGGTCATGGGCGTCAGGTAAACCGGTTTTAGATCGATGGGCGAGCGATCTGTGCCATGGTTGCCCGATTGCGATGGCGGCGGCGTCATGCTTCCATGATGATGACCATGATGCGGATGATGCGGATGATGCGGATGATGCGGATGATGATGGTGCGACTGCGACTGTCCCGTCTGGATTGAGGACAGGGCGGGCAGCTGCTGCAGCGACATGGAGCGCAGACCTGTGAAACCAGTCGAGGAGGGAGGAGAACAACAAACAAGATGCGATTAAAAAGCGTTTCGTTTTATGAGCCGGCGTTAAAATTCACACACACAGCGCCGCGATGCCGACGTCGACGTCGACGTCGACAGCGGCAGCAATAAAAACGTTCGAATCGACGGACGGACGGGCCATGTGCCATGTGTTGCTATGCGCTGGTAATCCGAGATCCGAGATCCAAATGCCCAGCATGCACACACAAACACGCGCACAACCACGCGCACACACACGCACACACACATTCACCGTGAACTCAGCGAGCAATAAGCTGGCTCTGATTGACAGGAACACCCAGGCAGACTGACGGACGGGCGGTGGGGCACTTACCGTTATCCAAGCCGCTGCCACTTGTTGCATAGGAGTAGCCCGCGGCCACGAGACTGGCGGCTGGCGCATAATCACTTTGAAGCGCCGACACCGGCGAACTGGAGGGGCCCGCCGTCGAGGACATGCCCAGCGCCGAGTGCGCCAACGGCGGCGTGGGTGAGCCATTCAGATTGTTGCCCACCGACGTCAGGCAGGTTATGTTCGAGTACTGGGGCAGTGTGCCCACGGCCACAGCTGGCGCGCCGCTGTGCGCCGCATGCACGTTCCAGGCATCGCCGAAGCCCTGAGCCGCCGTGGAACCTGCTCCGGCCGCAGCGCTATAGTCATAGCTGGCATACGTGGGCGTCGCATAGAAGTTGGCCGTGTCCTGGAAGGTATTTGCAATGTAAGGATCACAGTATAGAATAGCTTCACACTTGGCTTACCATGCCCCCATCCGCGTAGCTGCCGCTGTAGAAGCTGTTCGGATTGACGGCATAGGTCTTGACCTTGATCTTGGAGCGATAGCCGCGCGGACGACGTCGCAGGCTGCCCTCATCCTCGAACAGATGCGCCGAATTCTCATCAATGGTCCAGTAGTTGCCCTTGCCGGGCTTGCCCACGCCCATACCCTTGGGCAGCTTCTTGAAGCACTCGTTCAGGCTGAGATTGTGACGCACCGAGTTCTTCCAGCCGACGTAGGGTCCGCGAAAGAACTCATAGCTGCCGGCAAAACAGATAATGCAAGTTTATTTACTTGGTTTCAGCTGCCCAACACTCCCTCCATATCGCCTGCCCACCCTCCATTCCCGATCCGGTCTAATGAGCTTTGGGTGTCCGTCACAAAAGCCAATTAAAGATTTTCGGGCTCACAGACGAGCGCAACAACAAACAAACGACGTCAGCGCGAAATCCTCTCACGCATTCACGCGTTGTCAAGTCCCAGCCACGCCCCGCTCCGCGTCGTCTCTCTGGTCTCTGTCTGGTTCCCAGTCGCGATTGTCGCCCATTATCCAAACATATAAAGTGCCATGCGCTGAGAAATATGAGCAATCAAAAGGATGCGCCTGCTCGAGCTGCGTCTTGGCCCCGGCTTGTTGTGGCCCGACTTGGCTGGGCTTCAGTCGGGGCTTGGGCTGGGGTTGGGGTTGGGGTTGGGGGAGCTGCTCATATTTTGTTGACTAAATAAAATCGGAGGCAAGTAAATAAACGCAAGCGACACACATGAAAATCGAAACACTTTTAGGTGCCTCGCGTTGCCGGTTGCCAATTCCCCCCCCTCGATCACCCCCGGCCCACTCTCATGTCGGCTGTATCTGTGTCCGGTGCCCGGTGGCGGGGTGTCGATGTCGGTAATGGGTCCCAGCACGTTACTTGAGCCCGCGCCGCTGCCTTCGGCGCTTGGGAATGCGACGATCGACAAATGTCAAGACGGAGCCATTTTAGGGGCTTTAACCAGATACCAGATACCTGTTCATTTATAAGCGTAGCAACTAAGAAAGAACTAACTAAACTAAGTTCCTGCTCTATCTATGCAACAAACGAGTGTGTGCTGTGATCGGGAATGCCCAACTGGAAGATGCTCTGCAGCAAGCTAAAAGCTCTCTGCGAAAAGCTTAGAGAAGGATTTGGAACTGAAAATGGAACTTGGAAGGCTGTCTACAAGTTTAATTGAACTGCATCTGCGTAGGGTATACGAGAATAAAAAGATCGGAAAGAGAGCATATAGCTTTTAGACAGACAGGCCAGATAGATGCACCAAGTAAAGTATAAATATTTATTTAGTTTAATTGAAATATATGAAATCTTCTAGGCTGCTGCTCCAGATCAAGCAGATATACTGTATATATATACAATATATATATATATCTAAACTTTATAGAGTTGCAGCTAGCTTTGCTTTGGATGTTTTCTTATCACTTGCTAAAAGATGACTTAGGATATTCTAAATATCTTTTATCTTAAAGCATAGAGCTCTTGAATTTTAACTGATTTTTATATATCATATAACCCATAGATTATGTACAACATGGGCCTATTTTTGGACTTTATGTTTTCAAATTTTTTCCGAAATATATAATCAAGTTTCTCAGTTGCCTATGGAATGTATCTTTTCCAAGAGAAGTTTCATAGAGTTATGTGAAAGGAACTTTGGTTATCTTAGGTTAATTCCTTGATAATATCTGATAATATATCTATTATTAAATCTTTAACAAGATCTGTGTGATTATATCTTTGATTAAGTCTTTGATTATATCTTTGGTTGTATCTTTGATAATATCTCTGATTATATCTTTAGCTATATCTTTGGTTAAATCTTAAGCATCATATTCAATCATATTCAAGCTCTTAGAAATTCTGTTAAAGTGAAACACTCTATAATTTCTTCAATCCCTACATTTCCCAATAACTTTATGATTTCTGATAAGGCAATCTTCTATAGCTCCGTCTTGGACATTGACGATCCCGCAAACACTAAAAGCCTCTCAAGCTCTTAAGCTCAACAACATATGGTCCCTGAAATTGGATACTCTCCATTTGGAGCCTCAATCTCAAGTGGCCCTTTTGCGATTATGTCAAAAGGGAACTCGATTCCCATTCCGTTTTGATAGATTTCTATATGTTGGACCCACCTCTTTTGCAGATATGCATAGATCTCGCTGAGCGTCAGTTTGCCCGTGGGCGACTCCTTGATGGCATGTCCGATCATATTGATGTAGCTCAGGGCTGGCTTCTCCGGCCGACGTGTGCCCGACTTCTTGGTCGTGTCCGGCGTGCTGTTATCCTGTGCACTGGAGCCCGTCGCCTTGGACTGCGCCGCGCTGGAGCTCTCATGTGTGGCATTCGCTGGCGTCGTTTCGGAGCCGTTAAGCGACTTGGCTGGCGAGGAGCTGGCGCTCGAGTAGTTCATGCCGTGGCCATGGGCATTGGCTATGACCTGCGTGGGCGAGGACGAGATGCGCGGCAAATAGCTGCCGGATACCGGAGAGTTCTGCTGCTGTTGCTGCTGCTGCTGCTGCTGCTCCGCCTCGTGCATGGCCAGCTGATGATAGTCGTTGGCGCTCAGTATGGTGTTGTTGGAGCAGTACTTGATCGTGGAGGTGTACTGATGATTCATCGGCTGCAGCTGCAGCGGCTTCACCACCGACGAGCTCACGTACATCTCCTGATCGGTGGGCGTCTTCGAGCTGGAATTGGGTGATACCGAGCCCACCGAATGGGCAGTCATTAGCACGCCATATGCTGGTATCGGACTTGAGGATGCCGGCGGCGTGCCCATGCTGTGCAGCGCACTCAGTCCGTAATGCTGCTGCTGCTGCTGTTGCTGCTGTTGCTGCTGTTGCTGCTGCTGCTGTTGGGCGGTGGGCGTGACATTGCCAGCGGCATCCACCGTGGTTGCATAGAACTTGCGATCCATGTAGCTGATGTTGGGCTTCTCATCCACCAGCTCCGTGGGTGAATCGCCGCCCATCAGCTGGAAACTGCCAGCGGGCAGCGTGTTCCCAGCGCGATACAAGTGCGTGGGTGTGTGATGCGTGAAGGTGTGTGCGTGCGGATGCGCTTGTGTGTGCTGTGCGCTGCCCAGGTGATGGTGCGGATGATGGTGATGATAGTGGGCGCCACTGACAAACCCGCCTAGCTGATCAACGCCCATTGTGCGGCTGTTTAAATCGGATGCCACTTCTTCACTTTTGATCATTTTCTTTAATATAATAATTACGTTTTTTTTTTCTTTTTTATTCTAGTTGGACGCACCGAAGCTTTGTCGTTTTTTTTTATTTCTTATTTTCTTAACAGTTTTATCCGTTCCGTAATGGATAGAACCGCGCGGCTTCGCTTTACTCGCCTAACTGTAAACTGTTTGCGTTCTCAACGCGTGCGTTGCTCTCATTCTGCTCGGGCCGCGGCGACGCTGCGATCCTACGACGCGGCGCTCCACTTGAAGCTGTATGTGTTCTTTTTTTAGTTCGCCTACGCCTTACGCTCACTCTCTCCCACGCTCTCTTTCTGTGTGCCTCTCATTCCAATTTGACTTGCAGCTAATTGGCTTGGCTTTTGTTCACATAACTGTTTGCTCTCTTTTTCTGCTTGCTCTCTCTCTCTCTCCCCCTTTCTCTGCTTTTGCATGTCTGTGACATGACTGTGGTAATTGTTATTGGAGCCTGGTCTATGCATTGGCATGCAAGATATCCAGGTACAGGGAGTGGGAGTGGGCGGATGGGTCTTAAGTGGGAATTACAGCAATCTGAGAGAGCGGCGTGTTGTATGGTGACTCGTTGGAGTATACATATATATATTTATGCATGTGTGTATATAGACTGCATACATAGGCTATATACATAGGCAGTATTTGGAAACTGGGCTGCTTATAAAAACTTAATTTTCGATTTATTGTTGCTTTTGGAAGCTCATTGTAGCTCGATCAGTATATAGATATAGATAGATGGATAGTTTGATCAAGATATTGAAAAAATAAATAGCTCTGAATCAATAGGCTTCGGCTAGGACAATATCACATCCCTATACTCTACCAAGCTGGCATATATGTCTTCTTTATGCGATCAAGTATTTCTCGCTCTATAAAATGATTTTAGGATTTTATTATTATAATCTCTTCTATTCGACAAGATTAAAATAGTTTTAAAGTCTAGAAAGAGTTTCAATTGTGAAATCGAGCACTTAAAAAGTAGAAAAATAATTCCCGAATACCATAACGCTGTCATTCTCAACAAAATCTCAAGGAGTTCTATTGCTCAAACGGGCAGCCACAATGAGAGACACATCATTAGCATTGAGTTGTCTTAGCTCCCGTCGAGCGTATATTGGTCTCCTGCGCCTTGCACAGTCAACAGTTAATAAATAGTCGAAAAACCCCGAACTCGAAACCCCAATTACTGCGAATGAATTAACATTTAGCATTCATGGAAAGGAAACAAACCGTTCGCCGTTTGCTTCCAATGCTGGCGGCATTCAAACGAGCTGTTAATTGATTTAGTCGTTCGTACGGCTCGGCCCCGGCCCCGGGTCCGGACCTGGGTCTCACCGCCTCCAGCTGGGGGTTGTGTGTCTCGTAGCTGCTCCCTGAGTGCCGCCATTGCTGTCAGCACTACGCCGACTCGCGACCGTGACGACGACGACGACGATGGCGACGCGGCCGCTCTCCGCTCTTCGCGCTGCGCTCTTCGCTCTCTGCTCTCCACACGCATATTTTGTTGTATTCTTTTTTTTTCGGTGCGCAGAGATCGAGCAACGTTTCAATCCCCAAACATACACACACACACACACACGCACAGCTAGCGAGAGACACACGGAGGCGGAGTTTTGTTTACATTAAACGAATTCTATTTGTCGAACGCGTCAGGCACGATTGGCGCTGCTGGCAGAGGCAACAACAACAACAACAACAACAACAACGCACATTTTGTTAGCTATATAATGTTTTTTTTTGTTGCGTTCAATTTTATTTGACTTTTGTGCGGCCTGAAAGATATTTTAATTTCTTTTTGCAAATATATCACAATCAGACAATTTTCCAAAGCACTCGCCATTTTCAGAGTATTTCGTGGAAACCGCAGACAATAACCGCAAAGCAACAACAACAACAGCAACAACAACAACAGCTACAAATTGGGCAATTGCGGAGCATTTTTCAGCACAGCATTTAAAGTCAATGGGCACAAGACACACACACACACACACACACAAATGTGCATACAGTGAAAGCTGCCTAGGACGACCGTAGGGTTACATTTGCACACTCTAAAGCAAGGTACGCCTATTAGAGGGTAAAATGGGCAGGGCCCGCTCCATTATCATGTTTAAGTGGACCGTCCGTTTGTTGAGTTTTCACTGTATTTGTGTGCACACTCGCCCGCACACACTTCTGCCATGCATTAAAGCCTTTGGCTAGCTGCCTGTTGGCCTCTGCGGACACAGGGGCTATAAATTATTTTTACGTTTGATTATTATTATTTCTTATTCTGGGTTTTTGCGTGCTGTTTTCGTCCATTCGTTCCATCCAGAATTTATTTGTGAGTGAGGAATAAATTAAACAGGCATCGCGCACTGCGAACCGAACAATACAATACAATACAATGTGCCATAGCTGGGCTGGTTGGCATCATGGCCACAGTTTAAATCAGGCGATTAATTAATTGCCCAGGTGTGAAGAAAGATTTCAAAGAAATCGCTCACGTTAACAAATGACATTGGGTGAAGTCAAAAAAAAATAAGACTAGCCTAAAGGTATTACTCATAGCAGGTTCTATTAATCAATAAACAACGACCCAGAAAATAACTTAAGTATTTTGATGAAAAATATATTTCGAGAAATATGTTTTTATTGATTTCTAACAGAAATTGATTTCACATCAATTGGAAAACCATTTTGATTTTTGTCTTTTTGCAAACGTTTGTATTTTATATTTTGTCCGAATTCTTTGTGCCCACCCCCCCCCCCCCCCCCTCCACCCCTGCTGCTGGAAAATTTCTTTGACATGACATCGCGCCTTGTATTTATAGCCAAATCGTATCCAATGCAAAGCCAAACTGTGCGTCATTTTAACTGGGTCAACAGTTCCGCCAAGATATATATATATATATATAGGTTTGCCATTTGGTAGTCGGGATTTGATGCTGTGTGGTCCGTTGGCAATTCCGGATGCGAGTGCTCCGTTAAGCACGTGCATAACAAACAACAAGTCCGATGAGGGAATTCCCAAACAAAACTCGTCATCTTCTCCATTCAGTTTTCAAGTTCAAATATAATCATAATAAAGATAAGCATATACAATACATCTCTCTCTCTTGATATTCCTCTTGTTGTTGTTGTTGTTGTTATGGGCTTCTTGTACGGCGTTTGTTTTGCTTTTAATTTAATGTTAATGTTATTAAATGGCCAAATTGTTTACTATTATGGACGTTTGTAAACAAAATTATGTATACGACGCGTCTGCCGCAACAAGTTGAGTTGTAGTACACAAAGCGGCCAATCCCATTGATACATCCTCTCTCACTCGCACTCACTCGCTCTCTCTCGCTCTCTCTCTCTATCGTCTCGCCGTCTCTCTCTTTCCGCGTAATGCAAAAGAACACCAAACAATACCAAATGCCGGCCATGGCCAGCATTGTTTAAACTTGCCTCGTGCTGTAGTTTAATAAACATCTAACAATTAAACACACGATTCCTTCGGGTCTTGGATAAACCTACCACCCCCACCACCTCCCCCGCCTCCCTCGCCCCCTTTAGCTGGCCAGTTGTATACAAGTTGGAGCTGCGGCGCCTTTGTTTTTGCACACTGACCTACAACAACTGGGAAAGCAAACAATTGCAGCTTCCACGGACACGCCCTGCCACCTGGCCGTCCCCCAGCTCAGACGTTTATTAAACTGTTGATCCGCCGGACAATAAATAATCAAATAGTCCAAAATTCAAAATATTTACACGCAAGCTGCGGCGTGCACAAAATATGCCGTCTATAGTTAGGAATTTCCTTCTTTTTCACACGCAGTTCCTTCCTTTCGTTTTTTTTTTGTTTTTTTGCTATTGGGCTTTTGTTTAAATATTTACAATTTTGCTGTGCAAATTCTTGCTTAGATCTGGCCAAATAGTTGGTTTGCCTTTATGACTTTATAAGCACAGTCATGGATTTGTTTATGCCCCAGCTTCTGTGCAGAGATTCAATCACGTGAGACGCATTTGCAGAAGAATTCAACAAAAAGGAAAAAATTTAAAATTACAAACAATTTATATTTATTTCTATATACATTTTTAATTAAAATACCATTTCCCTATGGCTTGGTTATTGTGTTTTTCCCACGACTTTAATGATGTTTTTTTTTTTTTTGTAAATATTTATAAGATATTTTTACGCTTGAGTGGAGAATCGCTTTTGGGCTGATGTTTGGAATGGAATTGGTGACAGCCAAACAAACTAATTAATAAATAATAAAAAAAAATCGGTGAGAATAATAAATAGAAGAAAACTAACATATAAACTATATACTATTATCTACAATTTATGGAGGTATAGAAAGAAAAGGTCGCAAGTTTTATTATTACTTTAATTATAATTAAAGTATTTTTCGTATTATCATTGTTAATATTATTAGCTTCATTGAAATTATTATTTATTTAACTGATGTGTGAGACATTAGAATAGCAGAAAACTTTAAAAGAAACTATTATGAACAAATTTATAGAATTATTATTGTAATATTATTATTAATGTATTATTCGTATTATCATTATCATTAATTTTGTTTATTATTATTATTATTATCATCTTCATTATAATTAATATCATTTTTATTATTTTTATTATCATTAATTTTTTTATTATTATTATTATTATTATCATTTTCATCATTATTATTATTATTATCATTATTATTTATATTATCATTATTAATATCATCATTAATATCATTATTGTTTTAACTGATTCATGGGCTTTGAGCCCTGATGCTCGCCATTTGATTGATCTCGAAGACAACTTATCATCAGGCAATCGCAATGGTACCCATTCACAAGTACGCTTTGGCTCTTTTGTGGACTTAATATACGAAATGCCAAAGTGCCAGATAAGAATTGAACAAATTACAAGGCTAATTCTGGCCGTTTCATCTATTTTCGAGTGCCTCGTCACGCTGCTGTTGCCACACACTTGGCACTCGGAGCGGAGACAGGTTCTGGGGCGGCCATTAACACCTTGCCGTGCGATTACAATATCAAAATGGCCGCCGACTTTTGCGCAAGATGGCCAATACGACGTGTGTTTGGCTGCCAGCTGCCATTGCCAAACTACTATGCAAACTGTGGCAAGACAATAAAAGCTACAGCACACACACACACACACACACGCACACACGCACACAGAGTCTCGGGAAGCTGCGGGAAGCCTGCGCTGACCGGGCGTTTGGCTGTCGAAGCTGGCGCAATAAAATTGAACAATTTATAGACTTGCGTTCCATTTGGTGCGCAATAATTGCGCCAAATTTAACAGAAATTAAGAAGGAGAAAAAACACACACACACACACACACACAGCCAAATTCTTTCAAAAGCGCCAACAGCAAGGCGTGCGATACGTCCGTCCGTCCGTTTGTCCGTCCGTCTGTCCGACTGTCCGACTGTCCGTCTGTTTGTCGAGCCTCAGCTAAAGCCATTTTTACTTGGCACTTGGTTGGCATTGTTTAGCTTTTGGCTTAATAGCCGGCACTTAAAAATGCGTTGACTCACGCAAAGGTGAACGAGCAACACGGAAGGTGAAACGTGGCACAGGTAAGAGAGTTGCAACAGGAAACAGAGGCAGTCAAACCGAATTTATGACTGCGATTTACGCGCTTTTCAACGTTCTTCAATTACAAATTTGGCCGTAATTAATCTTTAGTTAGATGGTCAAACGTCTCGCTTGTGGTATGTGGCATGTGGCAGCGACTTGCTACGTGCAACCGAACCACGATCCACGATCTTCGAACTTTTGGCATCTGTTTCGTTTCAATTGACGCGTGTTGTCGTCATTGATTCTTGGGAATTTGCTGTTGCCTGTTGTTGTTGCATGTTGTTGTTGCCTGTTGTTGTTGCCTGTTGTTGCTGCTGCCTGCTGTTGTCGCTCGCATATTTTGCTTTGTTCTTGGCCTTTTGTACACTTTAATCTCAAGCTCTTTCCGCCTTTCGACATTTTTTATTGGCCGGCCTTGCGGGTCGGCGCACCTGTGCGGCATGTGGCAACGGAAATGGCACAAGAAATGTGAACGCTGCGACTTATTGACAGCACAATGCTTGAAGAAACTGGGCCACAAATTTCCATACAGTCAATGAAATATCTCAAGATCAAATACAGTAAAACCAGAGTAAAGTAAACCCAAGTGCAGGGAATCAACCAATGCATGGGCTGCGGCTCAAGTGGCTCGGAGGGAGGCCAATATGTAAATTTGGGTTAATTGTAGGCGACATCCTGACGCAGCAACAGTCCGTAATGATTATCCGGCGTAAAACGAGGCGCTGACAAATATTTTGACATGGCGTCGCCGAGACATTGTCGCTGTGGTTCGAGTCCACTTGATGCTCGGACCCGGACAGCCGGGCAGCCGGGCAGCCGGGCGACCAGGCGACCGGGCTAATGTGTGGTCGCCACTTGAGATCCGGTAGCGGGGTCGGGCAAATGTGAAACCCAATACCGAAAAATTCAAATACAAAACCCGAGCCACAAATCGAATTGAATGACATGTGTCAGTTGGGTAATTAATCTTGAGATTAATAATCGAAATTGCGCCCGTCAAAAAACAACAGACTTTTGTCCAGAAAATAAACTATTCAATAATAAGTTCTAAGAGGTTAAGAAAGTATTCATAAAGAAAACATAAGGTTACCTGTGCAAAAACCTGAACTTTCCCTAGCATTTCGACAATATCATAGTTCCTTTAAAAAATCAAATATTCCATCAAGATTTTCGAAAACTGGAAAATCAGTTCAAGATCCCAGCAAGCGATGAAAACATTAATCCATGTCATTTAGTATTCAGAAAGATTTGCTTTAGTATATACAGAAACGAGCTATCGTAGACATCAAATTGAAATTCCAAAAAACAAAAAAATAAATTAATAATGAATCGTTTGATAAATATTTCGGTTTTAAAATTGACCGACAACTTGATAGGCAACAGTCGAACTTTAAGTGGATCCGGTAAGAAATATTCGGCCGATAAGAAGGATCCCTGCAAAAAGGAAGATCCCTGCAAAAAGGAAGATCCCTGCAAAAAGGAAGATCCCTGCAAAAAGGAAGATCCCTGCAAAAAGGATGGCGACAAAAAGAAAGATTCCAGCAAAAAGGATGATAAAGGCGGAAAAGACTCTAAGGACAAGGGCGGTTGCGAAAAAAGTGCGTATCACACATCATCTGCACTCTAAAAATATGTATGTAATCCTTTACAGCAAATGTATCGACCGCGCCACGTTGTAAAGATGGTAAGGGTAAAAAGTAGGCTTCATCATGTGCAAGACGCGCTCTCCTGCATTCCAAATGTTGGGTATTTTTGGACACTGACCTGGCCTGGCGCCTTTGCAAATGTGCAAACGGAAGAGCAGTCCACATAATGGATCACAAATTACCCAAAAACCCAAACGCAACATGAATCAGTTGTAGTTTATAGCTGGCCGAGCACACTGAGATCATAAAACGCGAACGCTCGAGACATTATAAAGCCATAAAGCAACAAGTAAAATCGGCGCACAACAACAACAACAAGAAAAAATATAAGAAGAAGAAATCCCATAAAGAGTGATAAAAGTCGTAACGAAACTGTGAATTTCCATGCGGGCACGCTGAAGTCTTACGATATGCTGATCTCAAGATGGAAGCGCATACAAATTTTAAATATATATTTATTGCAAAAGCGAAAAAAAGAAAAACATCTTTTCTAATAATTGCATTGTTCGTTGGAAAAACTGCATCATATCGGCTGGCAGGTGCTTAAAAGCTCCCACGTAGCCGCATTGCTCGGATCTGGCAACCATCTGATCTGGCAACCATGACAAAAATATTCAACCGTTAGGCTGCAGCAACGGGAAATTCATAAATTTCACACCCAGAGCCAAAGAAACCGTTTTTATGGCAATTCAATTGCACTGGCACTGATATTTGTTTCCTGCTGCTGCTTCTGCCCAGATCCGTGCACCCGTTCCCGGGCAGGTTGCAGCCGTATGGCCATATACGATTTGGTTTTCCCTATGCTTCATGTAAACAAATTCTAGACACGGGCCCGCACTTGTGTGTCGACTGCTGCCGTTCTGTGCCCAAGACTCAATAGTCGAAAAACTATTTTTCCTCTATATATTTCCCAGTCTTTTCCGATCGATCGGTTTCTACATCTTCTCTATGTATGTGTGTGTGTGTTGCGCACATTTTTGTCTTGTTGGGCTCTCTGTATTTTGGGTAATTATTACTTTTTTCAATGTAAACAATTTGAATGCTGCTAATTTTAGTTAAATACTTGCACATAATTCTTGATTTTACGATTTTGCGCCCTCGTTTTTGCCGGGAAATTAACCTAAACGCCCTGGCCTAATCATTTCAACAGTTTGTGTATTAACTGGAATGTCGCAATTATTTCCAGTCTTGGTATTTTTGATTTTTAGTACTTTTCGGATTTTCAACTCTTTCAACGGACATTTACAAGTTTTGGTATTTATTTTCTGTAGTTGTCAGCCCATTGACTTGCTCGACGGCTTTGAAAAGTACCGAAAATCAAACGATTGACGCAGCCGACGATCGACGGGCGGTCGGGCATCCATCAAGCTGGAAGTGCAGCTGGGGGTGGAGGAGCCATCTATAGCTGTTCCAGTTGAACAGCCGCCGTGTGTCTGTTCGACCTTTCAACGCATAAAAAGCCGCTGCGCAAAGTTTTCCAAAAACGATTTTTTTCTTCTCTTCAAATTATCGACGAAATTAATCTTAATCTTGAGTTTGCCCTGGCAATCTGGCAACACATGTGCTAAACGGTGCCTGCTTGAGTGTGTGTGCATAGGTGTGGGTACATGTGCATGTACACACACACACACACATACATCTACATATATACATATCTATTTCAAGGCCTTGGCGTCCTTTAACTGTTGTTGTTGTTGCTGCTGCTGCTGCTGCTGCTGATTCTGCTGCTGCTGTTGTTGTTTGCTTTGGTTTTTGTTTTTGTGCGCGCGCCGATTGAAGTTTGTCCGACGCCGACGTCGACGTTCGTCAAATTTGTTGGCATCAGCAAACGGTTTTTATTCAACGCGAAACAACAGCAACAAGAACAACAACAACAAGAACAACAACAACAGCAGCAGCGACAGCAGCAATGCTGATGATGATGCCGATGACGAGCAAGACAGGCGAGAAAGAGGAAGACGGCATGCGCTTTGCATGCGCCGCCTTGCACTCGCGCGACTGCCACCAATTGGACCACCCAAAGCGTTGAGCTTCCGCGCTCCTCTTGCCTATCCACCCCATCCCCCAACCCCCAACCCCTAACCGCATAAATCCATATTTCTCTAGCTGCTGCTGCTGCCGCTGCTGCTGCTGCTGTCGTCTTCGCCAGCGTCGCGAACGCCGTTTTACTTTTTACGATAAATTACAAAAGCAATGCTGCAATCATTCATTCATGCGGGGATCCCAAGCCCCCCGCTGCCGTCCTCAAGCGTGGTGTAAACATGTGTAAATCATGACCCGTTGATGGCCTCCACGTAGACAATGCGCTTGGGGGCGCAGGGCGCAACATGTGACGTCCTCGCCGCTGACGTTGTTGCTACGTCGGCAACTTTTGCACTGCGACCCCAGCTCGCTTACAGTGCTTTTCCAGTTTATGTAGATAAATGAGTTGTGGAAAGCTGTTCCAGCCTGACAGCCGCCCTGCAGATCTCATTCCATTCCAGTTCTCGTTCGATTTCCAATAAGTACGAACGATTTCGGAATGCAACTGCTGCCATTTGGCGCTGTTGGCTGTTGTTGGCCGCCAACGTAGTTCGACATTCCCATTCCCATAATCGTATTGTCCCAAAAGGCTAAAGCAAATATTATTTATTTGTGTGCATGTGTGTGTGTGTGTGTGTGTGTGTGTGTGTGTGTGTGTGTGTGTGTGTGTGCGCGCCTCCTCGGGCTCTGAGAACTTTTTTCGGTTTGTGCGCATACGGTTTGTGGGCAAAGGCCGTGCACTTCCGAGCCGCACACATTTTTGTGTGTGTGTGTTTTTTTTTTTTGTTTGTTTATACTTAAAGCGTTATTTCAATAAACATATCATGGCAAAGGGCAAATTTTTGATATTGAAATTTTGTTACATTCTCAAAAACGTGCAGCCCAAATATGCAACTTTTTTATGTTCTAACGACAGCCCAGCATTTTTATTATTTAATTAAACCAAATAATTTGTTGCTAATAATTTGTTGCTTCCCTTAAAGTCTAAACTTGCTGATTTACTTATTATCATTATCACATACTTGAAGATAATCCACATATATGTATATACATATGCATGCATGAACACATACAAATAGAAAATTAACGAATTATCCAACACACTTTTTTAACACAACAATTATAGGAAGCACTTCTGGTATACACATATGTACATACATGCACACATGCATACGCACCTACTAGACTTGTGGTGGACTTGCCAGACTGTCCTGTTTCCTCCATTGCTATCCCATTGCTATGCTAACTTTCTCCTTCAAATCCTTATGTTCTTCTCATTTTATTCGTGTCACTTTTCTTCCATTTCTTCCTGCTCTTCCTGTTTCTTTTCGCCGCTTTTAAATGCTTTTTTAAAAAAGGTATAACAAAACATAGCATGGCATTATAAAGCATACATACATATATGTACATACAGACAAGTTTAGAAAACTTGGCCTGTACACACACATACAAGTATACGCCCAATTAGTCAGCGTCTTTGTCAAATAGTTTTCTAAATATATATTGACACACATAATCAAAGGTTTTGCTAAATATATTTTCTAAAATTTAAAATATTTGAATTTCGAATTTTATAGCAGTTAGCAATTTGCAAGGCTTACGAAACGGTCTGGCAGCGTAGCAGCAGTTCATGCTGACGTCACACTTGCCATTATATGCTGTGCTGGAAAATGCTCAACTATTTGGCGCTTAACAGCACTGACAAGCGCCGATCGTTTTCAGTGTGACCAACTGCTACGGGTTATTGGTGTTTTTTTGGTATCTGAGTGAGAACCGCAGTAGCTGCCCAAAAGTGATTCACGCTCGCGAACGCCAATAGCAATATTAACAAATAGAAAATAGTTTTCGCATTGCCGCCAGACATACCATTAGAGAATTTAAATAATTTAATAAGGCAGCCGCAAGTGTTTTCGAAAGTGCAAAACGACAGCCCGCTACGTTTGCGTCGGCTCAAACTCTTGACTGCGCGTGTGCATGCGTGTGTATGTGTTTGTGTGAAAGGAGGAGGAGAAGCAACACAAAAAAAAAGTGTACAGACGACGCGCAGACGCGACGATCTGCAGTGGCTAATTAAAAGTACCAAAAAACGCGAGTGAAAATTAATTAAATAACAGGCGCAAATTTCGCCAAAAATTAGATCACGAGTTGGTTAACAAGCCGCAAACAGCGATAATAACAAAATGGGTTGTGCCGTGAGTACAGCACGAGATAAAGAAGCCATCGAACGTTCCAAAAACATCGACCGGGCGCTCAGAGCCGAAGGAGAACGCGCCGCCTCGGAGGTTAAGCTGCTGCTCTTAGGTGCGTCCGTCCCCCCCAGAACTTTCCAACACCTATGCATTAACTAAGGCCTTTAGTCGGTGGTCCAAAATTGCGACGCCATGCACAAATATTGGTGAACTACTTTCCAGTGGGGTGGGTTTCGCCATTGGATGAAAGCCGTTGCAATGCGGGCCTATTTAACTTGCCTGACTAAATGCTGTTATTTATTTTGTTTTCAATCGAATCGAATGTTTTTCGTTCATCTTTGGCAGTGATGGTCTGGCATTATGCAATGCACATGTCTAATAATTCGATTGCGATAAGAAATTGAAAGTAAATTGAAACCAAATGTCGGCTGCGGCGGCTCAAACAAGTGGGGCGCCATCAATCGGCTTGCCAATGGAAACATGTTTGTGCTGCGGTTCTTTTTACATATACAAAAGAAGAAGACGTATGTGTGTTTGTATGTGTGTGTGTGTGTGTGTGTGTGATGAGTGGCACTTGCTGTTGCGTTTCTTTTGGTGAGAAATGTGCATTGAGGCGTTGCGACGCCATTATTTCAACTTTGACCTCTGCCACTAGCAGAGCGCTTGCGCAGTGAAATTGGACGCCGCGCCGCGTCGCGTTTTTGGCCTTCTGCAATTAAATTTCTATGCAAACGGCAAGCCGAGAAATTATCTGTGAGTGCGCAGCCCAGTTTTCATACATTCATTCAATGTTGCAAACAATGCAATGGATTTTCCAGCTTTTCAAGTAACAGTCAACAGCAACTCGGTGGCTTTTGCTAATGAAGCGGCGCCCCGTTCGCTCGCTGATGACTCAAAAGGGGCTGACGAGCGGTTAAAGATTGCAGCGCGGGGGGGTTGCGCGCGGGGGGTACATTCGACATGCCAGTTAAATGATATTTGCGCGAAATGAATTCACAACACTCGTCAACAAAAAATCTGCTGTGACCACAACCAGAAGCGCCTAGAAGTCGTTAAATACATTTGTATACCCTTGCATTGGGTATTTTAGCTGTGTCGCACAATATGTAACAACAACTAAACATCAGTAGATAGATCTTTGTTTCATTTTCATATTATATATATTTCGTCATATTTCGCAATCCCAAATATATATATCCCCTAGGAAATTGGGTATTCGTATGAAGAAGTATAGAAACTGGTTACATATATGTATAACTGTTCTT